GGGTCAATATTAAATACATATATGCCATGCATAAGATATAATGAATGTGGTGTCATGCTTACACATCATAAATAAAATCATAGGATTGCATTAAAGAGTTGTACAATTTCACCATAGTGCCACAATTACACCCGTATATACCATAATTCAGCTACTAGACTCTTTGACATGTTAACGACAACTATATACTCTTAATTACAAAATTACTTGAGTAGTTAAGATCACCACATATGAATACACATGGTACACAATATCACAATGTCATGATTTCAGGAATTGAACCCTAAGCTTCTAGGTAAATGTTAAGATTATGTACATGGACATGTCACACAATTATATGAATAATCTTACCTTGTCACAATGGGGATCACACATATATGATGGCTTATTACAAGTAGGGGTGGGAATAGGCCAGGCCGGCCTCCAGGGGCCTGGGCCTGGCCTGTATAAAGCCTGGCCTGGCCTGGCCTATTTAACTAAACAGGCCAGGCCCAGGCCTTTTTAAAAACCTATTTAACTAAACAGGCTAGGCTTAGGCCTATTAAAAAGCCTTATAAGCCTGATAGGCCGGCCTATTTAGAGTGACTACTTTGTAAAATATACTAAGTTAGAGTGACTTAATAGGGATTTTACTCTAAAATTAATGGTTAAACTGAAAATATTAAATGTTTATTGTTAAACAGGCTTTTAAACAGGCCCAGGCCAGACCTAAATAAAAGCCTTTGACAGGCCACAGGCCAGGCCCAGGCCAATACAAATCAGTGTAGGCCAGGCCCAGGCCTATTAAAGCCTGGCCTGGCCTGGCCTATTCCCACCCCTAATTACAAGTCTCCCTAATCACCATACAACATGTAATGTATTTTAACACTTATTAACACATTATATCACATATTTTAATCATTTTTAACACTTATAAACTCATTCACTATTCTAAGGGTATATTCATATTTTTTCCTATTCATAGGTATGTTAGTTTTTTACCATTCAAATAGACTTCCTAATCATTTTTTATCCACACACGAATATTATTCTTCATTTCACATTATTCATTTAATTAAGTCACATTGTTATGAATATTTTGATACACAAGGGCATTTTAACCATTTTCTAATCATAGGGTTATTTTAGACATTTTCTTATTTACAACCTTTATTCTTTTTATCACATTATTAATACTTTGATCTTTTAGACTTTAAGGCATTTCAGAACTTTACAAAATTAAACAATTTAAAACTTGGAGATAATTCGATCATGTTGTGCATAATATTAATCGTGATTATTAGTTGCAAACACCTTTGACACTTACAATGACCTTATCGATATTATGATTAAGTTACCTCCTACATCTAAGCTTGAGCAAGGCCTGGATCTAGCTTGAAATCATTGTTGATTAATACTTTTTAAGGGGTTTCTTGGAAAAAGTGGAGAACTTTATTTGTGAGGGTGAAAAAAGTAAATTATTGTTGAGTTTAGGTGTTTCGTTGAGTTTAGAATTTTGTCTTGAACCCTTTACCCTCTTAGAATTCGTGTTAATATGGATATTGTTATAGTTTTACCCGAATTCAATCTAAATCAAATTAATGAAGATATAAAATTAAGAGAAAATTGGAAAAAGTAATAAACCTAGTTTGATTGAAAGTAGAAAACATATTCTCTTTTATGTTAATTTTAAGTAAGAAATATAGTTTGAGTAAATTTTTTACTATTCAAGTTTCCTTTATAATCAAGTAATTATCTTTATAAATAGATACTATGGATTGGGGTTAGATGATCATATCGATTCTAAAATTCTCTAATATTCTTTTATTTTCGATATTAGTAAAAATTTTGGTATATATTTATTGAAATTCTCTTATATTTTCTATTTCAAGATTAGTGAAAATTCTTGATCATGATTCATATATTTTCTAATTACAATTTCTAACAAATGATACCAGAGCTATGATTCAAGTTGTGTAGTTTTAAAGGACTTTATTGCAAATTTTGATAATGATATTGGATACATACAAGAGGATTTTTTGCTACAATAAGTTTTCAGTTACAAATAATGATTTTAAATTGATCTAGTGATACTTCAATGGATATTACGTAATAATTAAAGTTGTTGATGACATGATGACATAGCTTTAACAAATATCTGGTTTACATAAGGATTGGAGTTGTTAAAGATTTGAAGACCAATTTTCTAATGGAATTTGTGTTAAAGGAGAGATTGTTAGATATTGACTCGAATTCTAATTAGTAATTAAGTTACATTTCTAGGACTAAAGATTATTGGTGATTACGTTTATTTATATAAGAATTCTTATGTAGTAAGGAATCTTGGTAACTAAATATTTAGTTCTATAAATAGAGAGAATGTCTTAGCCTTTAGAATTATATGAGAAAATTATTTTGGAGACACATAATCATTTTGTAGTCTCTTCAATTTTTGGAGTTTATATTACATAGATTGATTTTGTAAGGATGTTGAGAAAGTTTCTTGGGATACATCATATTTGATTTATATAATGGATTTCGAGATACATAAGACATCATTTATTTGTATCCTTTGTGATCTCTACGTTGATCGTGGATTATTGTTTTTCTTACTTGTGGAGGTAGACACGACTGAACCGCATTACATCTCATATCTTGCACGTGTTTTATTCTATGTTGTTCATGCTTCATTTACTTTTCTTCTTACTAATTCCTAACATGTTTAAATCTTAATATTATGAATGGTTTTTTTATAATATTGGATCTAAATTAATTGATCAATAGATCAAATATCAATAATTATACTGAAAAAATAAGATATACAAAAAATATCTCATTTAATGAAAAATATTTATATATATCATGTATCGATGATTGAAATAAAAAATTAAATTACTCGAGCATTTTTTATTTCTTTAAGATTTTGTAATTTTTTTTTCTCTATTTCAACAACCCTTCCAAACCTTTGATAAAAAAAAAGGCCTATGCATTAAATAAACTTGAGATGCCTTTTTGTGTGCCACATTCAATATGGGAATAAATTCTTGGTGAAGAGTTACAAACATATGAATTAATTATGAAATAAGATAATGTTTGATTGTTGGACTATTGAAAGTTTGTTAAGATATCAGCATTGAAAAATCTCCCTTTGAACAAAAAATAAACTCTTCTTTTTGTCTTGTTTTTCGATGTTAGTTGGGTTTTGATATAATATTTTTCTTAAAATTAATAAAATAAATTATATTAAATTAAAAATTGTTAACTAAACTCAATTATTATGATACTTATTTAAATTTTGTTAAGTTGGTGAAATGTCAAGTAACAAACAATAATTATTATTGAATAATTTAGAGTAATGATAAGATAAAACATGTTTATATAAAAATTAAGAAATATATATATATATATATATATATATATATATATATATATATATATATATATATATATATATATATATATATATAGGTAAATCAGTTGTACAAGCAAAACAATATAAGTAGTTAAAGGACGATTGTTATCTCTAGAGGTATTAGATTTTAACATGACGTTTGTAAGGGTATTTGAACCAGGGGCGGACTCAGGACAAAATTTCAGGGGTTGCACAAAAAAATTCTTATAAATTTTTTTAGGAGTTGCACAATATTAAGGGTGACACTTGTATTAATTAAAAAAATTAGAAAAAATTAACACTAAGTAGACAATTTTGTTGCACAATTTTTTTTCCTATAAGAATTTAACTGAAATATGGGGATTTTACCTAAAAATCATAAAATATATATATATATAAATACTGAAATAGTATCATTTGATCAATATTCCTCCCAATTTGAGGGGTTGCCCGGGCTACCCCTGCTACCCCCGGATCCACCCCTGATTTAAACGTTTATTGTTAAATGATTGATAATCTTTGAATATATATTATTTATAATCACACCATGGGACAATTGAGGAAAAAAATGTGTATATTTAAGGATGGCTGCTTATAGAACCTCCAAAAAGTGGGTAGCTGTCATTGATAAATGGGGTCCCAGGAATCCATTGCCAACGTACTACTTGGACAGACTCCATGGAGATGATTGAATTACGGTTGATGATGTCATGATGCTGTACATTCAATACGTAAATAAAAAGGGTTAATACCTAAACTTTATATTTTCATTTTTAGGTACTTAGTCGTTATTTTAGTACTCTATAATTAAAAATTTAACTGAATTATTGTACTGTCATTTTTATAAGTAAATTATATAATTTATTATTCAATTATTTTCTCACTCTTATTTTGACCACTAAAGTTTAATTTTTTTTAATTTAACTACTCAACTGTCGAATTACTTTTATTTTAATCACTTTGATTTATTTTATTAATATTTTTGTGACATGACATTCATTATTATTATTTTATTAATATATAGTTTAAATAAAAATTAAATTTAAAATTAAAATTATACCCAAACATAAACATTATACCAAAACCCTAATTCACAAATCATTCATCCCACTCTTACGTCCTCACTCTTATCGCCCTCTTCAACGTGTTCCTTCCTTTTTTTATTTTAATAATATATTAATAAAATAATAATTGAAAGATGTCACATCATAGGAAATATTGATAAAATAAATTAGAGTGATTAAAATAGGAATAATTTGAAGTTAAGTGATTAAATTAAAAATAATTAAAGTTCAATAATCAAAATAGGAGCAAGAAGATGGGTGAGTGATGAATGATGTAATTTACCCATAAAATGCCAGTTTCATTAAATTTACAACAGTATAGTGCTAAAATGAAATAAAAAGTGAAGTTTATGAGTGATTTTGAAGAAAAAAAAACAAAAGTTCAAGTACTAAAATGAAACAGAAGGGATAATTTAGATACTAAAAATGTAGTTTACCCTAAATATAATTACAGTTTTTTCCCCACCATGCAATATATTAATAAACTCTTATTTCATATTAAATGGAGTCTATATATAAATCAACAAAGACAGCCAACACTTTGATTTCACTACACAAACCAAAACAGAGAGGTCCCTCCCTCGTTATCTTACGCAAACCATGTCGTCAAAGGATTGCCACCACCATGGCAAAAGCCGTGGGAAATTAGTCCGAAGAATCATAGCCGGCGTTGTCATCTTCCTCCTGGTTGTTCTTATCACAATCCTCATTATTTGGGCTATCCTTCGTCCCAACAAGCCCAGGTTCATCCTCCAGGACACCACCGTCTACGGCTTCAACGCCTCCGTCCCCAATTTCCTCTCCTCCAGTTTCCAAGTCACCGTGACGTCTCGGAACCCGAACGACAGGATCGGGATCTACTACGACAGGCTCGACATGTACGCCACTTACAGGAACCAACAAATCACGCCCCGCACTGCAATCCCTCCCACTTACCAGGGTCACAAGGAGGTCAACGTTTGGTCGCCGTTCATTAATGGGGACATGGTTCCTATCTCGCCGGACTTTTCCGTGGCTTTGGGGTCGGAACAGGCTGCCGGCTCGGTTTTCCTAACTATCAAGATTGACGGACGGGTGAGATGGAGAGTTGGAGCTATCGTTACCAGAAGATACAATCTCCACGTTAGATGTCCGGCTTATATCACTTTCGGAGGCAACAGTAACGGCGTTATCGTCGGCGATAATGCTGTTAAGTTTCAGTTCGTGACTAGCTGCAGCGTTAGTGTCTGAAGTTGGAAAACACTGAGGATTGAGGAAGAAGATAAAGAAACTAACAACGTCAAGTCCCAATCTTAATCTCTCGTCTCCCTCGATTTTATTTTATCTGAAGTCGTTTGTTTTTTCACGAGGAAATTGTACACTTTGCTATAGAATAAATGGAGAAAAAAAAATTAAAGGAGTGATACGAAGCAAAATTTAAAATAAAAATGTAAAAAATCCTTTATAGAAATTTTATTTTTCAAATTAAAAAATGCGTGATTAAACCAGATTCTACGTTATCAAAATTTTACCCTTGCTAAAAGTTTTATAAAGGAATTATGGTGTGTTGGAGGCCACTTGAGAGTTAAAGGAGTCCAGGCAATTTAGTACACGTATCTCTTTTAATTCAGGTAAATTTTGATGACACGGTTTTCTTTAAGAAGATAAGTGATGCGATCCTGACCAGAATCAAATTTCTCCATGCATTACTCACGCCATTAAAGATTTCAACGATTGAGTTTAAGGGAATTCTTCTTAATTATCGATACTGAGGGTTCGATATCGAGACCGAGGGGCTTGGTATCGAGAATGGGATTCCATAATGCCATTTTGTTATCGGTACTCTAGGGAGTATCAATACCCAAGGTCCATGTATCGATACTTCCACTTTTCTTTCAAGACATTTCAGCATGGGGTATCGATACCTTGGGTAGAGTATCGATACTTAAGGCCAGTATCAATACCCAAGGGTATGTTTGGGCCTTAGAGCAAGGAGAATTTGAGAGGTAGTATCGATATTGTAAGGTCAATATTGATACCAAAGCTTTGTGTTGAGCAATAAAAAAGTGATGTTTTAGAGATAGGTGAAATTTCCCAAAAGCTTATAATTTATTCCAAATAAGACTGCAAGTGATAACAATAATAATGCTTAATTCAAACATAGAAACGAGATAAATTTAAGAGAAATAAGAGCCTTGTTTGAATGCTCGGGAAACGACCAGGACACCCGAGTTCCTTTAGAAAAGATAGCAGAGTCGAAAGTAGAGGTTTAGTCCGGATATATCCTTAGGGAGTGCGCAAGGAACTTTAAGCTGACTAACTAAGGCCGAGGCCTGACACTCATAAGGGGTGGGTTAGTCGAGGGTATGGTGTCTGATGCAGAGATTTCGGGGGTCATATCCTCAATAGACTAGAGGGGTATGTGAGCTTTGAGATGCATCCCCTCAACCACACCATGATATCTACCATAGAGTAGAGAGTAAGTATACAAGTATACTCACTAAAGCAGGGTAGAGCAAAGCAGTGGACTTGATAGAAAATTATTAGACTTGATAACATGAGCCTTTCAGTAGTGTACTTTTAGTATGTCCTAGTTGTTAGTGTAGTGTTGAGCTAGTTAGCTCAGCCTTCGGATATTTCCGTTAGCATGTTAGTATACCATCCAGTTTGATAAGATCTAGAGTGACCGAGGTCCAGATCCAGTGCAAAGCATAATACCTCATCAACGTTTTGAAGGGCATGTATATTTGTACACTTTGTTGTAAAGTTAACTCATAAAGTGAGTCAAGAGTGAGTTTGTATATTTTTTAAATGTATTTATTTATTTTGAGAGCTCTCAATTGTAAAGTTTAAAGTTTTGTTGTTTTATAATTTATTTTATTAAAATGATTGTTTTGATGTCAAAGAAAGCAAGAAAAGTATGAGTAAAGAGTTGGTCAGTCACTTTGGTGGTTCTATGTACGTAGCACCCTAATTAGTCGACTGTGTGTCGTACTGGTCTAGGGTGTTACAACACTAAGGTCTCTTGGTTCATGCTGAATTTCGAGTTTAAATACTTAATAAGTTTTTATATTTTTCTTATTTAATTCTGGTTCTGTCACTATTGACGGATTTGATTTCTCTATTGTTTCAAATTTAGTTTTCTTTCCTACCCATCAAAGGCATTCTTTAAACATCTGTTGTGTCGAAAAGAATTGTAAGCATCCAAAGTTTTTAATTTTTAAATAAACCATTGTGTGCTGATCCAAATCATAGATGAATAAATTAATTAGATTAATTAAGTTTGTTGGGACATGTTGGACCTTGAATGGATGAGAATTGGCCCAATTGAATATGAAAAATGAAAATTTTTATTTATGAATGAAAAGGGAAGGTCTAAAGGTGTAATTGGACTCTCAATTAAAAAAGGTTGCATCCCCAACTAAAATACTAAAGTTAATTAGTAAGACTCAACACCTTAACTTTTGAGAAATAGTTAGACTTGGAGTCTAAACTTTGTAAAATTATCAAAATGACCCCAGTGCTTAATAAATAGATTTGAAGTCCTAAAATATGGTTAGGAAATAAAAAATATCCCCTTATCTATTGTATTTCCTTCGAATTTCTTTCGCAAAACACACTTCTGTTATAAATCCTTTACTTATCAAGACATTACGAATAACTACAGTCTTTTGATTGAATTATTGTTAATTCCATCACCGTTAAATCTACTATATGATGCTTAGGTTTACTCACCTAGCATATATATATATATATATATAACATGTAAAATTGAAAAGAGATTCTCTCTTTGTCTCTCATCTTCTCTCGTTATTTATTATCTTTATTAAATAATTTCTCCTCTATTTCTTTCATAAAATTATCGATCGTTATTCTTTGTCCAAATTAAAAAAAATCACCGAAAATTCGTAAAAATGTGTTTTTCTCATCAATCCAAAGCACTAAAATGGACTCATTCAAACAATCGGACTTAGAATTTTATTAATCATACACGTCAATATCAAATTTGTATTTATATTAAACCAACATTTTCATTATACAATTACCTTTTTCTCTAAACCACTACATAGAATAGAGCATCAAAGTCAAAGAAAACGAACTTGGAAGTTTCCAAGCATCTCCAACCCAAAGCATTCATAAAAATTATTAGATGGACTCGGTTATCACGTTATATGTGGTTTCAACTAATAACATTTTTTTATCTTTTTTTTCTTAAGGTGAATCCTCATCTCTTTACTACGTGTAAATAAAAAGCGAACAATTATCTAGAAATTATTTAAAATCGATGGATTGAACCATGGATGACTTGGTGTGATGGTACCATGAAATAATTTCTCAACCACTCGTGGTAAAACAAAATAAAAACATATTTGAAAAGGAAGTTACCACTAACACCAAAAGTCTTATATCGCCCGCACTCGACAAATCAATCCCCACAAAGCAACCGCGTCATATTGACCAGGTGGCATTTCTCATTTTGTTAACGTGTTCTTGCAACACGCTTCCTAGTTCCAACTAGTTTGCTTTGCCTCTATATATACATCCCATATATCTTCCATTCATTCATTCATTCATTCATTCTTCTCTCAACTTGCAAAAGTAAAAGCAGATTTTCACAGCGTTTAGCAGTTTTACAATGGCGGAGAAACAATCTCATCTCAATGGAGCCTACTATGGCCCTTCTGTTCCACCAGCTGCGAATTACCACCGCCCCAGCCGTAGCTCGGGCTGCGGATGCGGCTGTTGTCTTCTGAAGCTGCTCTTGAAGATCGTGATCGCTCTTGTGGTCATCATCGGCCTTGCTGTTCTCATCTTCTGGCTCATCTTCCGCCCCAACGAGGTCAAGTTCCATGTCACCGACGTCAGGCTCAATGAATTCAGCCTCGATAACCAAACCCTGCGTTACGACCTTGCGGTTAACATCACAGTGCGTAACCCCAACAGGAGAATCGGCATACACTACGATCGTATCGAGGCCAGGGCCTACTACGACGACCAGCGTCTCCAATCTGTGACTTTGACCCCGTTTTATCAAGGCCACAAAAACACCAGCTTCTTGAACCCCGTGTTCAGGGGGGAGCAATTCGTTCGGCTCGGTTCGGATGAAGTTGCCGATTACAATGAAGAGAGGATTAGTGGTATTTACAGCATTGATGTGAATCTGCATTTGAGGATCAGGTTCAAGGTCGGAAGGGTGAGGACCAGCAGGTTCAGGCCCAGGATTGAATGTGACTTGAAGGTTCCTTTGAACACAGCCAATGGTACCTTGGCTGCTGCTCCTTTCACCACCAAGAGATGCGATTGGGATTACTGATCACACTTGGACGCCTCTCATTCATGCTCCGATCGACCCTTTGATTGTATTTTTCGTTTTGTGATTCATACTATTTATTCTTTTGTCTTTATTTCCCTGTATGTAGATATATAAACAGTGGTATTGGTTTCGAGATATTATACACGGACGATTACGTTTTAATTTACTCGTTACTCTTTCTCCGTAATATACGTAAGAAACTGTAATTTCAATAATTTTAAAAGTTCAAACCTCGTTCACACAATTGGATTCAAATAAAAAATAATTTAATATCGTTTAAGTAAGATTTCGACTTAAAAAAACTCTATTGACAGACTCACCTCTCAAAGTGTGTAATGTGAATCAATCCAAACCTGGAGAGGAAAAAAAAGTCTAAACCTCTATGGCGTACGTAACTGGAAATTTAAAATTGGAATAACCTGTTTGATATTCCAATTGAAAACTAGTTGCTGGTACTTTCTATTGGGGCAGTTGACCAAATGGAATCATATATATAGGATAATTTGGTACGTTGAATTCGTACCAAGTTCGTACAATATTCAAATTCAAGGGTGGGTTGTTTTTTTTTTATTAGACTTTTTCAAAATATTATCATCATTAAAGTTTAAAATATTATATTTTAAACGCTACACTTTTAAATTACTTCTACTTTAATTTCACTTATTTCACTAATTAAATTTATATATTATATGGATTTATTATAAAATTATCAATATTTTCAAGTTTGTATAAATGAAAAAGACTAGATGAATTTTGTTTCTTTGAATTTTTATGTGACTAAATGAATTTTAGGGATTTATAAAATTTCTTTTATTAATATAATACTTTAATATATAATTTATATTAATAAAAATATGATAATATTTTGATATATACAAATTTTTAAATGGCTCCCAAAAGATAATGTTGAGTTTCGTTACTGACAGTACCAATTTTAAATTTTTAACATTAGTTACAGAGCATCATTGATTATTAATTCTCTTGTTTTTTTTTCATACTATGTCATTTGTTTTCTTTTTTTCTTGAGTTTTTTTTGAATAATAATCTTCATTTTGTGACACGTTTTTATGTATTCTTATGGCATGATCCTTATGTTTAGTAAAATGTTATTTGTTATTACAATTAGAATTATGTAACGAAATAGTCTGTCAGATTCTTTGGTTCATTCACCACTCTTTTATCATTTCGTAAAGAGTCTCATTCAACAGAGACAAAAAATTATTCGGATCACGGGTGGAGGATTCCTTGTTCTCGGGTCAGGTCAGGTGGACCAAAAATCCAACCCAACCCGACCATGCCCATCCCTATATATGATCAGATGACGGGTCACCTATAGCTTAAATGTTAAATGTATATATGTAATGTTAATAAGTGTTTTGATGCAATGTTCATTTTTTAATGTAGGAATACATGGAGAAAGTGTTTTAGAAATCACTCCATTAAATTTAAATTATGGGCGAACAAAATTCAACTCGACTCGAAAAGTTAATTTTTTTAGTTTCAAGTTATTCAAGCCGAGTTATTTGAGTTAACTCGAATTATTTATTCATTTTTCGAGTTAGAGTCAAGTTAGAATTTGAAAATTTTGAATTACTCGAAAAATCAAAAATTTGATTGAGAATATTAACAGTTTTAAGATTTAGTCCATGATTTTCTTATTCGTTCATTTTTCCTTCATTTTAAATCTATTTATACAAATTTTAACCACATGCTCCTAAACTATTATTGAATACATACGTACTTTCAATTTCTCTTTTTGATAACAAGTTTTTTATTTTTCAATTTAGTCCCTCAACTTTTTATGATTTCCTTATTTCTTCAATTTATTATTCATTTAAGTCCATTTGTTTACCAATTTGAATCACATGCCTCTATACCACTATAGAATCATTATGTAACTTCAATTCCTATTTTTTTTTACTAAATCTATTCTCCTTTTTATTTAGTTCTTTAACTTTGCATTTTACTCAATTTGGTCTTTTGATTGCAATTGTTTGTAAAATCTTTCATCCCACCAATTCCTTGACTCATTTATATTCTCATCAATATTTTATCCTCAAAATACCTTCTTTAAATGTAATATTGAAATATTTTTAAATTTTAGATTGTATTTGATATACTAGATAACATTATAACGTGAGAAGAATATGAAGAAATATAATATATATGAAAAGAGTATGAACATAAAAGCTAGCAAAATCTCTCTTGTATACTTATTTTGAGTGACCACTAAAGGATTGAGGTTCAATGGAGTTGTAATTTACCAGTGTAATTTACCCTAAAATATTAAAGATTAGAACCATTGGGAGCCCAAAGTCATTTTGAGGCTAAATGGAGTTGTAAGCGTGGCAAAATCAGCATGGGCAAAAGAGTTGAAAACGCCATTTTCCTAATCAAAACTGCCAACTTCAAGCAAATACATATACGTGTATGCAGACCTCAGCCTTCCATCACAATAAATAATTTATAACGTTTTGTTTATAAATTATTATTTAATATGTTATATGTAAAAATAATTTATAAATAATATTTGAATAAATTTAAATAGTTTATTATTTACTTTTATTTTTTAATTTATTTTAAAAAAATATTTGACATCATTCGAAATTTACTTATAAAATTATTTTTTATTAATAATGTATCGGATAATAATATTTTTATATACATCCTACAAATCAAATTTTAAAAATAGCGATTGTGTGGTATTTATATATGCGTGAGATGATATTGTCAATTGGTCAAATATAAAATATCAGGTTGATTTTAAGATATATATATATATATATATATATAATTATCTTACATAACCAATGGTCGGATATGTTTATAAACTAATTAGATCAGACAATTTTTTAGTGATTAAAGGAATGATTGTTATCTTCATACGTTTTATGTTCGAACATCAGAGATTACAAGAATGATAAATTTTTAATATTAAATTATTTAAAACATATATTATATTATAATTATTCAAAATTAATAAAAAATAAATCAGACAATTTTCCTTTTTAACACTTGGAGGGACATATGTAGAAAGTGAAATATCTTATTCTACTCTTTTGATTTCAACATGGAAAATCATAGCTTGTCATAAAGAAAAATGTTGTACTCAAGCATATGTATAATCAGATTCCACTCCGCCTTGTCAGTTGAAGGATATTTTATAATAAATGCCCTTCTTTATTGATATACTCAACAGGTAGAGCGGTCGAAGATAATTCATTGTGTAAATTTTATATTTTATGAGTTTTAGAAAAATATTAAAAAAATCAAATTGATGAAAAAATATAAATCAATTTAAAATTGATTATTTTATAATGATATTTAATTGAATTTTCACTTCAAGAAATTATGAATGGAATCCGATTTGCAAAGTTGCAATCAATTCAAGAGTTGATGAAAAAAATATAAATCAATTTAAAATTGATTATTCTATAATGATATTTAAGTGAAAACCTCGTTCTAAACATTGACGTTTTCTAGATACAACTAACGGAGTTGATTTAAGTTGTACGTAGTCTGATATCGTTTAAGTAGATATCAAGTTTAAGTTTTGTGTGTATAAAAATTTTCTGTTGAGAAGTTCAATTATTAAAATCAAGTGTACGATCCAAATTAATTCGAATTATCAAAGTGAAGCATCAAAAACCGAAAATAAAATTACAAAAAAAAAAGAATTTGCATGGTGGAAAATTGGGCTCTTCTATTATAAAAATGGAATTCATAATTCAAATAAATCTGCGTGTTTGAAGGAAAAAGTTACGATTAGAAACAATTGAATGATTCCTGAGTTTGCCATTTTAACGGGCGTTTTTATCTTAAAATATTCAAATATTATAATATTATTAGTTAGGTATATATTTTTTTAATTTTATCGATCTAACATCTTTTATAATAATATACTTTATGTAAAACGCAAATTTTCTTAAGTAGATCGAGGCACATTTACTGAAACACACCTTCTTGAGAAAATGTTGACATGTCATCACATAAGAAATCACATTTCAATGGGTTAAATACTTTTAGTCATTTGACAATTAATAATCAATCACTCTGTTACAATTCTACGTTGATATTTAAACTTATAATATCTAAAAATAATGATTCTTTCACCCACTTATATAAATTAATTTATACAAATAATTGGGTAATTAAATACAGAGTTTAACCTTGATAGAATTAGCAGGGTCGCAAGTCACAAACCAGGGCAACGGGAAAGGGGTACCCTACTAAAGTGCCCTTCCCCTCTTGCAGTCTGTTTTTTGCAGACTCGGCCATTTCCTTTTCTTTTAAGAATCGTACCAGTTGTTAATGTTCACCTCTCCTTTACTTCCTTCACCTACCCTTTCTACAATCTGGTGATCTACACCACCTTTTCATTAAAGTACTGATAGTTTTCATGGAGTCAGACAAAATGATGTTTTTAAACATATTTACAGGCTAATAGAAAAATTAGGAGCAATATCCGACGCAGGGAGTTAATTAAAAATACATTTGATTACATGCTAAATATGACTAATTTTCACCCTTCAATTCTTAAACTCACGAACCCCCGCTTCTTTATCTGATAAAATGTCATTTTCCGGCGAGGTTACGTCATCGATTCCCGGCGAAGATAACGAAAGCCCTGAATCAAGATCACGATCCGGAGAAGGCGACGGAGTTAAGTAAGGCGGCGATGCGCACGGCGTCGAAAACGGAGTCTCCGAGTCAACTACGACAGCCACGTCAGCCGACAATTCGGCCCCGCCCGATAAGCAGCCCCCTGAGACAGGCCCGCTTCTCGTTTCTCGCTTCACTCTGATCAGCGGAATTCTCGACGCTGTCGTTTCCTTCTCGTTCCTCTTCTTTTATCGTATACAAGATCCTCGACTGCCCGTACAACGCCTGCCACGCCTCGTCGTCCTCTGTCGTGGTTCCCTCCGATTCCGGCGCCGTAGCAGCCTCCGTCGGCGTCGGGGACACCACCCCAGAGGATGGCTCCACACGGGCCAGTTGGTTTTTCCAGCAGAAGAAGTAGAGAAGCTCCTTGGAGGGAGCAGCGTAGAAAGGTGAACCCGAAAACTCAGAGTCAACGGAAAGCGCGCCGCCGCTGATGACGCTGCGCTGACGGAAGCTCCGTTTACGCCAAAGAACGTAAACCAGCTCCGTGAAAAGAGCTAAAAGAATTGTTGCGAAGATGACGATGACGACTATCGCAAGCTTAGTTGGAGCATTCATGACGATTAACTGTTTCAGCTGATGTTACATAAGAAAAGAGTCAACTGAGGAATTGTGGGGGAAGGAGAGAAGAAAGGATTTTCTTTGTGGATTTAGGGAGGAAAATGATGAGGTTTTTTCTCGGAAAACGCAGAATCATGGAAAAACAGAAACGGTAAGAGATTGTGATGATGTGGAAGTAGAAAAGCACTCTTCGTCTTTGTTTTTTTTGGACTTAAATGGTTTTTTGAATTAGTTAGGCGGACGGCTTCCAAGTAACTTTCTAGTTAACCTCCAAACTATGCATACTTGTATTTTTATTTATTTTCTATTTTTTGAAAGGTATGTATTATCCGTTGAGAAAATTAATATTTATTAACAATAAATCTAATGGTAGAGTGTACAAATGGTCCGTCCATAGAATACTAATTTATGGACTCTTTTAATTATTAAAAGTTATAAAATAGTCTCTTAACTATAGATAGTTGTTTTGTTGAGTTATTGTCGGTCAAAAATTATAAAATGATCATTTGACTATTCATTATGTTTCAAACTCGTCTTTTCTCGTTAAAAAATTAATGATCATCTGAGTTGGACGTTAACATGCTGATTGAGATATGATAAAATCGTAAAACTCATACTATCATTAAATTTTTAACGAAAATGACGAGTTTGAAACATATTGAATATTCAGTTGACCATTTTGTGACTTTTAATAGTTAATGGACTATTTTTTAACTTTTAAAAATTAGGGACTTAATAGAGAAACACCCTATAGTCATGGGACCATTTATGTGCTTTAACATAAATCAAATCATATTTATTATGATAAAAAAATAATATTTCGGTTATAAGATGTATTTTTTTCTATATATTTTTTGAATAGAAAGAGAGGCCGAAGCCATAACATTAAGTCTTTATACGAGTGTAAGGAGAACCAACAAGATCCCGGTGAAGAATAGCAAGTAAATGAGTCGGGAAAGAGTCTAAAGGGAGAAGAGGATCATCATGGGTGTGATCCATTTTTGCTATGTAATCAGCCGCATCATTAGCTTCGCAATAAATCTTTTGGAAGTCGACAAACCATGCTTTCATGTATAGACGAGCTAGGACTCGAACCAGAGCAATGGACTATCCATAGATGGAGGCTAAGAACTTCACTACTATCTGATTGAACAGTGGCCTTCTCGACGCAACTTCGAGTCCCAGAAGGATATTCTAAAGTTCAGTTTCAAGCACTGATGCATGACCGATGCATCTGCGAAAAGCAAATAATAATTATGTTTATCATGATTAAAAAATAATAATACCATATGACTAGGGATGGCAAACGGGCAGATCGGGTGCGGATACCCCTTCCCCTATCTCCATACCCACCTAATATTTTTCAGTTCACTACCCGCCCACCACCCATGATGGGTACAAATTTTCAAATCTACATCCGCCCACGCGAGTACATTTTCAAATACATCCCCACACCCACTATCCACTAGCGACATACACATCTAGACCCGCCTGACAGCAAACTAATGAGATGTTGGAGTTGGTTCCCAGACAGTTCGTGATGGGGTAGCAACGCATGCTTCAATATGTCAGAGGAGTGGCTCTACGAATATTATGGAGACAGATTGTAGGGAGCATGTAGTCGCAGAGCTGGATTGTTGAGTTGCTTTCGATGTTAATGTTCATAGTGCGCCTAATATGGGTTTTGAGGGACTAAAGAACATGGAAACTGCTGCTTTTGATGTTAATGCATATAGTACGGCTAATTTGTGTTTGGATGGGCAATATGGGCTAAAGAACATTGAAAGTGACGTGGTTAGTGGGATTATGAGTTTAATCAAAGAACCGAATATTTTCCTAATTAAAGACCAAATTAAAGACTAAATATCCTTAATATTTGGTTAAATTATATGTTATATATTATACAATATTAAAATTTATAAATTAGTCTCTAAAATTACACCTAAATTCATAATGGTCCAAAATTTAATAGATATTTAGCTGGGTGGGCGGATGTGGGGCGGGCGGATGTGGGGCGGGTAATGTCTCAAACTCATTACCCGCCCACCACCCACGACGGGTATCACTTTATAAATCCACACCCGCCCACTACCCGCTAAAATTATACCCATCCCCGCTCCAATTGGAGCGGATGCGGTGCAGAATCTACGAAACTGTACCCGTTTGCCATCCCCACATATGACATAACAATTAATAAAATTAATATAATAACAAATTAAATACTTTACACTCCATCTTAATTTGATTTTTAATTTAAAACTTGTAATTTTTATTATTTTAATATTATATCAATTTAATCTATAAAATCACATCTTTCATCGTGTTTTGATATAATATTATATCAATATATTTATCATCGCTTAATTCTTTTTCTCACTCCAATTTGATCACTAAAATTTTTAAAAAAATTAAGTTAATCATTTGATTTTCATATTATTATTGTTTTGATCATTATATCATTAAATCAAAAATAATATAATAATATATATTATTTTATTAATATTTCTATCACATAAGCACCCATTAAGATTTTATAATTAGAATAAAAAGAAAATTAAAATATATAACATTACACCCTCACCACCATCAACCAACAACAAAGGAAATCCTTTGTTGGAATGAATCTAGATTTCGATCATAGGATCAATCACTATTCTGGCTTCCACAATCAACGGTATGTTGTAATCATCAGACATGAGTAAACCAACAGAATGGAATAGGTATTAGTTTTGTAATGATTGGAGCAGCAAACTTGGATTCGACAAGAATCTCATTTATGTAATCGTGTAAGTAGGGATGACAATTTAAATCTAAATTGTTGGTTTTATATCGAGTCGGGTAGGATTTATATTTTAAAAATTCGAGTCAGGTATAAGTCAAGTGAAAATTATATATTTTTTGAGTTGAATTGAGTAGGATAAAAGATATGTAATTTTCATGTCGGATCGGATTCAAGTGGAAGATATATATTTTTGGGTCGAGATGACAAAAAACCCGACCCTAAACTGACCCGTTACCATCCCTAAATATAAGTGAACCTATCATATTACCTCAAAATAGTGTAAGTGAACCTAGATTCCAATCGGGTCAATCTACTCAAATCAAATTCAACACTTCATTTGTCCTTGATTAACCAATTTTGGTCATCATGTGACGCCTCGAAACAAATTATTAAAACAAAAACAAAAAACTAAAGAGAAATAAAGAGAAGGGAATATGAAATTTGAACCTTTCAAAACCCTCTCTTATATCTTATCAACTAATAAACAAGTACAAACGCGACTTTTGATTTTGTCTTCAATAACTGAATCGTTACCACTTATTTATTTCAATTTTTGTATCAATATAAAATTTAATTAATTAATATATTTATCCAATAACTTTACAACTTAAATAAAAAAATTCACTGAAATAAATACTTTTACTCTTAATTTAATGCTTGAAGTATTATATTAGAAGCTCTAAACTTTTAGTTAATTAATTAAATTAGCTCTTCAAACATAGAGGAATGCATCTTAACATTTGATCTTAAAGCATCATTATTTCCCGTTTAGCTTCATTTTAGCATTACTGATCAGACTTCCTATCCAACCTAATCTAAACTTTTACCTAATGTTTAACTTAATGAAGCATCTCTCGAAATAGTAGAGGATTCATCATCATCATCATCATATATAATAAAAAAGACCCATGATTTGGCTAATGAAAATTAAGCTAAATCTGAAATGAAAAAGAAAAGAAATATAATTGCCCGTCCAGTTCAGTTGGTAGAGCGCAAGACTCTTAACCTTGTGGTCGTGAGATCGAGTTCCATGGTAGGCAATTCATAATTCTAACTGTCGGAGGTCTTCCACGGAAGCTGCTCTTAACCTGGCGTTGGGGGTCAGCCACCTACCATATCTCCCCCTTACCCCATTACATATAAGAATATGATCAGCTAATTGTGAAAAGAAAAAGAAAAGTGAGGGGTAAGGGCACGAGAATCGAAGTTTAGCTCATTTATATAATTTGTTTGTTGGAGTTTAAGTCCCACTCTATGCAATTACGATGAGTTTTCGATTGAGTCAAGTTTAATTAAAAAATTATAAGTTATTTGAGTTTATAAGTTTTATTTTATAACTCAAATTTGATTTTATTTTTTTCAATTCGAGTCGAGTTTTTGAGTTTATGTTTAAATTTAATTATACATATTTATAATAATATGATACCATTTAATTTCAATTTAAATGATTTTTTTATTATCATATACATTACATATATATATATTTTCATTTTTTTTTCATATGTGATATACATATATATCATACAGAGTCCATGAACTCGACTCATACTTAAGTCAATCCAATAATTACTAAAATTATCGAGTTATTATTCGAGTTGTGTTTTATAATTTAACTTAAACTTAAAAAAAATTTTGAGCTGAATCATGTTTATGAAATTACAACTCGAAATCAATTCGAATCAAAAAAATTAAATTTTCGAGAGTCAAATTTTGGTTACCCTTTATACAACTTTTGTTTCGAGTGAAGTAGGTGAAGTAGGCGCATCAACCGGGCTGCTTCTCGTGAGTTTGATATACCTTTACGAATAGGGCTTGTGGTTGGGGTGAACCTCAACCTGGGCTATTTGTATTAATGTGGTCACTGTTTATGCGTAGAAGGTAGAACTCTATTAGGTTATATGATTCGAATAAATTATATCAATTGCACGAATCAAATGACATCCGTGATAAAAGAATTATTGCTATCTCTTAAGGATCTAAATTTGAGCACCATAAATACCAGATATGTTAACGTTCAATGTAAAAAGGGTTACTTAAAAAAAATTGTATCCTTCTCATAACTTTCTATAAAAATTTAACTTAACTTCATTTACGAGGTCGTGCAATTATAAAACATAAATTTTAATATTTGCTTAAATAAGCATATGTGATCGGTTGGCCAAGCTGTTCATTTTTATTCTCTAACATTCTTTTAAGTCTGGGTTCTAGACCTATT